TGGATAAACTCAAAGCCAAATACATAGTCACAATACAACAAGCCACGCCCGAATAGAAAATGCAAATTGAGAGGACACGCCAAAGGCGGCCTAGAACCGAAAGCAAACTAATCTCAAACACCCAACTCCACTGCCATAAGGCCTAGAGAATACAATCCCAAACAAACCAAACCGAAAGAAAACTACAACCAATCAACCTAGAACCAAACAACCTGACAGAAAAGAAAATACAAAACTAAGCCAAGCAGGTAGCTAAAGCTGACAGAACTCGAGCCATTCCTTATGAGCAATTTGGACCAACTTGTGAGCTGGGATTGTTATTTTCTGAAAGATCCATAGGTTGCGGCACTTCCATAGCCACCAAAGTAAGTAGGTAGTGAGTTGGATGCGGGCTTTGTCAATCCCAGAGGAGCCAATGGAGCAGATATGATCCCACCAATATTTGAATGGTCCCTGAGAGTATGTGTCTGTCTAAGTGACTGGGGAGATGTCCCAAACCATCTTAGCTTTGGGGCAGTGGAGTAGAATGTGTTCTACAGTTTCAGGGCAAGCTCCACAGCTTTGGCAAGTAGTCTCAATATCCACACCTCTTTTCTTCAAGTTAGTAGAAACAGGTAGAGAACCATTAATACACTTCCAAAGAAACTGTTGAAGTTTACCTGGGAGTTTCAATTTCCAAAATCTGTAAATGGTTGCTTTGCTGTTGTAGGAGCTGCAGCAGGGGATGTCCAGGTTTAGGAGCTTCTGATGGGACAAGAATGAGTATGTGCTAGCAACAGAAAAGACTCCCTTGTTGTGAAATTTCCAGTATCTCCTGTCAGAGCAGCCAGGTTTAAGAGTGGATATGTTGAGGATGGCCTTACTTTCTGATTCATTGAAGAGTTGTTTAATCAGCCATTCTGTCCAAGCCGTCCCATTGGCATTTATTAGGTCCTTCACCCAGATAATGTGGTCTTTGGCAATCTCTAAGATAGTAGGCTTCAGATGCAAAAGAGAAGGAACCCAATTTACTTCATCAAGTCTTGTGGTTTCACCGTTCCTAACTTCCACAGCATAGCCTTTAGCAAAGGTGGGAAGAACCTCCAACCAGTTAGACCAAAGCCATGAGCAATTCTGAGTTTTGATAGCTGAGAAGATAGAGCAGTCTGGAAAGTATCTATCTTTCAGGATTTTACTGACCAAGAGTTGAGGTTGAGTGGATATTCTCCAGAGCTGCTTACAGATCAGAGCAGTATTGAAGTTTTTTAAGTCAATGAAGCCCAAACCGCCTTCAGCTTTATCAAGTGTGAGAAAATCCCAGGCCTTCCAATGGATACCTCGGCTGTGGTCTTCACCTTTACTCCACCAGAAATGGGAGCAATGTTTAATAATTTCATGACACAGAGAAGCTGGGAGTCTGAAGCAAGACATGGAATATATTGCCAGAGATTGGATGACAGCTTTTAAGAGTACTTCTTTGCCTGCTTGGGATAGAAGTTTGGATTTCCAACTGAGGAGCTTTGACTTGACAGAATCCAAGACAAACTGAAAAGCCTGCAATTTTGATTTTCCAATCCCAAGAGGCAAGCCAAGGTATTTTGTTGATTTGTGGACAGCAATCCCTTGAAGAGTGTCACATATTTTGTTTTGCAAGATTTGAGGAGTATTTCTGCTAAGAATTACCAAATAACTAATTTGGCACATGCCAATTATTCTAAAACATCTAAACCTACTGGGAATAATCAACTAATAACATAGATATGATATCTAGAAGATTTGGCATGATTGGGCCACCAAGAGAAATAATATATCGCGGTTTCTCGCGTACCGTGCTACGTGGATCAGGCTCCCCAGATCTCCTCGACTAAGCGCGGTGGCGTGTGGGTAAGGCTCGGCGAGGCGCTGTTGCAACGTGCGATGGGGCACTCGCGGATTGCTCACGGCGGCTGCAGTCGCTCACGGGACGCCGACGAGAATGGTGGCTGTGGGAGATTTTTTAGGGGGATTTTTTTGGAGAACTTTGAGAGGGATTTCTGAATATTTCTTGCTGCAGTAATGGCCAAAGTGAGGCAGGGTTTTTGGATCTAAAATGTATCTCAGGGAAGAAAGAAATTAAGGAGAGTAAAATGGAATCAAGGCTTCCCTTTCTAGGCTGATTTGGGGTGTTCTAAAGGCCATAAATTCAGTTGATTGAAGGCTGAAAAATGTTACCATAAGGGGCTCCTCAGTGTTTGAATTTTAAACTCAAAAGAGAGCCAAAATGTTTAGCCTTAGGACCGAATATTAGAAGCTTAAGGGGCCGGATTCTTGAGCTCTTACGGGCCGAGTTTAAAGGGCCGAAAATTAAAAGGCCTAAAAGGTTGGGTCTCACTTTCTAAAACGGCAATAAATATTGGGCTTGCTTGGGTAAAAATAATTTGCAAAAAGGCTTGCTGGAGAATTTGAAAATAAACAAATTTTGTTTAGCCAACGAATTGCCAGAACTTTGTATAATTTAAGTAGTCAAGGATATCTACCTAAATTATTTAACTTATTTACTAGTCGAGCTTAAGAAATGCAATGCAATGCACAACATAAATACAATAAAACGACCTAACTCTTATTAATCGAACGTGTTTGATATCAAAAATCGGACAATCAACACGTCAAATATGAGTCGAATTTCTTGGATAAAAAATAAATGTTAGATGACAAAAATAGATATTTTCTGTTTTTTTTTTTCTTTGGGAGAGTTCTTCTATCTTTTTGTTGTTGGGAGAGGGGAAAAATAAAAAATCTCCTTCTCTCTCCTCTTCACCACATATATATACATGTAAATTAAATAAATAGGTAAAAATAGTACACTAGCATTTAAGGCGAGGTGACAACCGGGGGGTCCACCTATGACTTTTAACAGCTTCGATTGATGTCTATCTTGTCGGCAGTTGTGGCGTCTACTGGAGGCGGCTTTTTTATGATATATGTATCATCCGATTATTTTGAGTTCTATTCGGCTTGGCAACGGGCGGACTCGATATCTGGGGACCCGGTCGGCTTCTAGATGATTAGTCTTGAGAATCTGTTTGTATATTTATTTATCATGTATTTTCGACTCCTTGGCTGTTGGGCCGTACTTTATTATTTTATTTATCATTTAATTAATCAGAGCCAAATTGGGTATCAACAGGAGGCCCTTGAGTTTAGGACATGTTCCTGATTGAACTATTCTTGATATAGGATATTATACTAGACCAGTTTTAATAGATAAAAGGGAATATATTGGAGAATAAGCCTACATATGGGCTAGGACACGTGGCATGATGGTATTGGACAAGCCCAACTTGGGCCATAAGGTACACTCCCCCTATAAAAGGGGCCAAGGTATCTCATTCTCTCACTCTCTCTACATTCATAATTATACTCTTGGGATTTGGAGTGTTGGAGTGATTCTGACTTGAGCGGACACGTTTAAAAAGCCAAACGGAGTTCCGATCGAAAAATCTCAAAAATTTTCCAGCAATCTCTTTCATCTCCACCGGTTGCCGCCACTGCTGCCGCCGCCGGCCGCCACCTCCACCGCCGGCCGTCGGAAAACATACTCCGATCGGAAAATGGTTGGCATCATCTCTTCGAGGTGAATCTCCCCTTAGAATTTCATGCAAAAATTCCTTTGGGAAGGCCGTCAATCTTGTGGTCAAAGTTTCTAGATCTAGCAAAAAATTGGTCAAAATCGGACATTCAAATGCATTTTCCCGACTATCCGGGAGGGCTATGAAGAATCCGAGGGTACCATCGGAAACTTCTCGGCAAGACGAATCTCTAGCTACCAACCTTCGCTGGCCGCCGCCAAAAATTGTTCGATCGGAAAAATTCTTATGGCATCGGGAAGTTCTTCTCGCGCTCGTTCTACCCTTAAATTTTCAAGCGAAAATTCTTCCGGGAAGGCCATCAATTATTCGGTCAAAATTTATGCATTTAGAAAATTTGGTCAAACTCCATCTTCTACAATTTGCCGGCGGTTTCCGGCGATTCACCTTAAACCGAGGACACCATTGAATCCTCTTCACCGAGGTGAACTATTGTCAGGTCACCGTCATTGGAGACAGCGTGGTTTGGACAGCGAGAAATTGCGCGGCGTATTCCAGTCGTTGTTCACGCAGGTCCCAGTCTGGCGCGCAAGGAAGCTCAGTGCAGTAATTGTCTTCCTTGTTTTGTTGGTCTGAGAGTAGTTGTATTGGCTTTTAGCCTTGTGAGGCTCTAAGTCACCATGATGGGTGACTTCCTAGTTTTATTTTTGATGTAGTTGGATGTTAGTCATTTGTACTGAACCTCTTTATTGAGTATATATAAAACTTCTATCGTTTCGGAAAAAAAAATAAAAAATTACTAGTCAATAATCACATAATTAAGTTGATCAGGTTGCCCTATGAACTAGACTCTGAAATTTTAACACAAAATTCACCTCTCAGTACCTAGAAAAACCACCAAGTTTCAGCCTCAAATTCAAAGCACGTGATTTTATAAAATTCATACAAGTTAACAGCAAAAACGAATATAAATTCACATCCAAACCTAATGAACAAATCACGACCTGATATTTTAACACCACAAACTACAACATATGAGTGACAACATATATAAATTTCAGCCATGGACATTAACTGTACGAATTTTAGAAATTAATACAAGTTTCTGCAAATTTCTAATTTTAATTAAAACCGAACCAATTTGAAATCCAAAAATTCTAATCTTCTTACAGCATCAAATTCCACATAAAACAAGTACTTCAGCCAAATATCAGAATTTTTCAGCAACTGAACAATTTATCATAATTAAAACACCGTTCAGTAGAATACTTAAATAAATTATTTACCCTATCAAACTTAGTCCAAAAATTCTAAAAATTTTACACAACGCATAAACATGACAAAGGCATAACATACTCAAATTTCAGAATATATGAAGTGCGGACCAATTTATTATGCATTTAACATGTTTCTGCCCAGAAATCACTTTAATTATTTAAAATAGTTACAGACCTCATAACATCATGAAATTTATTATCAAAACAGCCATAATAAACGATCGATAATTCATATAGGACTTTACACAAACAGAAATTATCCGAGGTCTTCACCATAAGACCAAGAACTTAGACAATGTTCCGTTATCCACAGCAACTTAACACTTTTTAACGTGTGCTCAATCGATTCACACGAGTCGACGAGGTTCATGTACATACACGACAATATTTATAACGAAACGAAATAAACACATAAAATCACAACTCATATAAACACGTAGAGTACGAGCAACACGACAAATAGTCACTTAAAAATAAACAAAAAGTCGAGACTCGATACCGTTCTCAGGAAAACGAGCGAGAAAGGATCGAACGGGGATCGACGACACGACGGGGTCAGCTTGCGGTGGCGCACGGAAAACAGCAAGGGCTGCCGGCGATAGGAACGGGCCTGCTGGTCGGGTGAGTGCTCGCCGAGAAGGGACTGTCACGGCGGAGGAGCAGTTGCAGGCGGAGAACGGGCTCGCGAGCGGGGAGGAGGACCTCTAGTCGCGGTGTGGCGGGAGCTCGCGGCAGGGAGTCGTGGCGTGAGGAGGTCTCTGACCGTGGCGTGACGGGGGCTCACGGCTCCGCGGGGTCGCTGTTCACTGCGTGGTGACTTGCGCGGAGGTTGAGTCGCGGCGAGAGGATTTGCAGGCGGGGTTGTCGGTTATCGCTGGTTCACAGTGAGGAGGATGATGATGATCGCGAGACGAAGTGAAGATGAGACGGTGAGGGTGATGGTGACGGGAAATTTGCAGAGGGAAGGTGAGGGGGAAAGACGACGACAGAAAAATCTTTCTGTTCGATGTCGCGTGAGGTCAAGAGGGAGAGGAAATCTGATTTGAAAAGGCTGTGGGGTGAAAGGAACATATATATACACATGTAACTAGGTTTAACAATTTCTTGATCCACAAGATAATCCACACGCACACAACCGGTAGGTAAAGGAAAAGAGAAGAAAACCGGGCTTAGGAAGAAATCTGGCCGGTTTTATATGGCTGGGCCGAACCGGGTCCGGTTCGCGGGCCGGTTCGGTTCATGCGGGTATACTCAGGCTCGATTAGACGCACGATTAAAATAAACCGAACACTATATATATATATACACACACATATCACACAAATGAAATAATTAATAACAAATATCATTTAGACATTTAAACAATTAGACATTTAATTTCAGTTAGACAATTAAATATTTAGACTTTAAAAAATAATACAATAATTTTAATAACAACACAATAAATATAATCATCCATAATAAATATAATAATAATCTAATAATAAAAATTACCAAATAATCCACAAATGAACGGGGCGCTACACGGACGGAGGTATATTGTAGGGGGCACTGTCCCCCCA